CGCTCAGCACTTCGGGTCAACACCTTCTTTCGGCAACGCTTCTCTAGTATCCCGTCTCATCTGGATTACTATTCAGTTATTTCTATTGTGTTTATTACTAATTGAGCGCCAGATTTGAAATTGAATACGTTATTGAATGTATTTCTATGTATAAAAACGTTACAGAAGTTGTGAAATTTGACTTCAATTGTCCTTTAACTGGTGGTGCACTATAACATTTAGTTACACTTACAGCGATAAGCATTGTCATCATCTTTAAAATTGACTTGTCAGCTTGAAATATGTGCTTTTCGTGTTTCTTGCAGTCGAATAAGGGGATTCAACCTCTGCTTACCGAGTGCATGCAAGGAGGTTAACAAAACCATGCTAAATTTCTTGACTGCGACCAGAAAGGATAAGAAGCCAATCATTGTTTTCATATAACCAAAGATGGAAGAACCTACTCCTTCAGTTGGAGATGCACATATTGTTTTTCAGTGTGCAAAGTGCAATGTGATTATTGGAGACTCTACATCATGGGCATTTGCCAATAAGAGCCTCAGTGGAGTGGTTCTTCATGCCACAACTCAAAATGTAACTGAAACACAGATGGTACGGACTTCGGATGAGGATGTTGATTTTGGCAGTACTTATACCCTGCTACAGTGCAATAACTGCAAAACAACTATTGGCCGAGTATACAAAACGACGCCAAAGAAGTTGGATGAGGTTCGTGACCTTTTTATGTTTAGTGTCCCAATGATTTCAAGTTACCATCTTGGATCTTTTGAACAGAAAACAAACACTAATGCAGAGAACCTCCTGGATATTCCCACGGCCAGATATCTCAACAGCCAGTTGTGGAAAATACAGAGTCTGATAGTGACAATGAATAACAGGCTTACTGCCCTAGAGAACTGTGTTGAGGTTGAATCAAATGACGAATTGAATGGTGACGTTCCCGTCTGAGCAACTTGGATTTGAATTCAATGCCTAAAGGCTAACTCAGGTCGCCCTTACGACCTAGTCGCCGACAAAATTGGAAGATCGTACATCAAAAACCGGCCAGATCGCATGACTCGTAATCTCGACATGAGTTCTCTTACGATCGAAAATACAATCGCCGACAGCGATCGCAGGAATAGAAAAGGTTCTATTTCTATGTGGCAGTCGGCGACAAATCGTGAGTGGCAGCCAATCACCGCTACGTGTCGAGTCACATGATTATCAAAAGTCGAAACAAAATGGCAGCCTACACAGCAGTTTACAAGGAGGGATTGCACAAACCCTTTCTCAAATATTTATATTAAGTTTTTTCGTATACAACAGGCAATTTTTTTAATTTTTGTTCTGCACATTTTAACGATTTTCAGAAAATTGAGGATAGATTTACGAAGTTACCTGATGTTTACTGGTAAGCACCATTTTGTTGGTCATGTGACTCGTTTTATGTAGACTGGTCCCGGTGTCAAGCTTGCTCTGTTTGTGCTAAAGAACTGCTTGTGCTAGTACAAATACTGGGGCCGCGAACCCGTCTACGTTTCCTGCAGAACGCTACGATCTGATCGGCGATGTACAGCGTGAAGTCACTTCAAGTCGACGTGAGTGGTGCTACGCTGCTAATCGGCGATAAAGTAGTCGCCGATGGTCAAATCGTAGGGCGACCTGAGCAGGGCTTAAGATTAATGGCGCAGAGATAAAAAGTTACATTGTAGCATTATGTATGTAAGAAGTGTGTATACTTTCACTGTTTAGCATTAGTATGTCATAAAAGGATATATTCACATTTTCCTATGTAATTTATAATAACCACCTTGTTAGAACAGTATGTAAGCCCAACTCTGCACTCACTAGCAACAACCATATGTGCTATATATACTAGAGTTCTCCCCATGAATTTCAGAAGGCACGTGATTCATGAACGGATGGGGGAATGCCCCATATGTGGGTGTACTGATTAGGGTCAATTACATCTGTCATAAATTGCCTAATTACACAGATAAACTGGGCCAGTTCAGTGACATACAACCAGTGAAAATTCTGCATACCTGTGTTAGGATTGCTCATAGGGTCTATGTCCCCCAGGGTACTGCCGGAACGTACCCTGGTAACTATCTGATATGATTAGGGTTAGGGTTAGGGTCAGCCATTATGAAATCATATTTTTTTAAAGTTGCATCACGGTTGTCACAGAGATGCTTGTTTACACTAATATTAATAAACCTATAGAGTGGTGAAGTGGAGGGAAATTGCAATCCATTATCATAATCGTGTCGGAATATTGTCGATAATGCCTAGAAGTTTTGCAAGTTATCAAATATGGTCGTAGCATGATATTCCTGCACACGTACACTTTGCTGTGACTTCTAGGCAAGTTAACCATTGTATTTTGAGGCCTTGTTATCAGTGGACTAAGTTTTGGTGATTATGGTTGAACTATCTGCCATGTATTGGTGAGATTGTTGTCCATGTATAGAAGCATTGTCTGTCACTACTTACTGGATAACACTCCTGAAATGGAAATGTGTGAGCAATTGTCTCTTTACCTGTTTAAACAGGTTTTGCAGTACTTTGACTATAATTCTTGATTATTGTAATACAGTCTGGGGTTTGGAGAAGTAAATATCACAGGCCTGAAAATAAAGTCATGAAAACGATAGGTCAGTGTTGTAAAAAGCTTTTTATTTGGTCTGTCAACCCACGTTCATGAAAATATCTACAACGTTAGCTTTCAGCTGCTGGCTTTTCACATTTGGCATAATATTTAACATGAAAAGTGCTGCCCACCACGACCATATCCTAAATGTGAAAAGTTTACGTCAAGCTGCATTTATGTTTTAAAAGTTGCAATTTTTTTAACCTGTGCAATGAGCTTAGATCAACGCTAGGCAGTAAGAACCACGAAGAGCAGAACCACAGATGATGGTCCAACTTAAGATGATGGGTGAATAAGACATTTCCCTTTTCCTATTTAACCTTGAACTTTGACTCTTGACTTCCATTTCTGGTCCGACACTGGCATTTCAGATACCCCCCCCCCCCACCACCACACACGCACATACACGCACAACTTTCTTGTGCCGAACATGAATACTGTGGGGTCGCTGTTCAACTTTCTGCTGTTATTGTTGATGGATATATGCTCTTGCCGTGATACTAGTTGATCTGACTACAACAATCTGCATATCAGCCTGCGTAAGATTAGTAACAATCTGTATTACATGCTGCTAGCCACAGACCCTGTTTTATATAACATTGTCATAGCTTTTTTATAACAAATCTATGTTGTAAAATGTTGTAAAAATCAAGATAATTTAGCGGCGATAAACCATTAACATTTGCTGGCATCTTATATTACTATGCATGTTGGCTGGTCTCATTCACAAGTAATTTTACCTAAACATCACAGATTTGTTGAGTGATCACTGTTTAGAGAACTCCTTCCATGTTAAATCGCAGACTAGTGCAATGTGATCACTGGGAAATACAACACTAGGCAGCCCTTTGTGTAGAATCACTTCCTCATGACTAGGCATTGGAATAACCTGCAAAAATATTATAAGGCAGGAAAACTTTACATATATATATATATGTATGTATATATAATATAATATAATATAATAACTATAAAATAAGCAGGGTGCAAAATTAACACGAGTCCGGAGTCAAATTCTTCCTGATTTACTGTCGGACTCCCTGATTTGACATATGCAGGAGTCCGTGTGACTCCCTGAAAATTCTGTTAAATTAGTAGTAGTTCGTTCCAGAGCACGGCCTCGCGGAATTACCGTATTTTTCAGCAAATGTCCAAAGAAAATTTGGCAGACGTGCATGGCAATAATTTTCAAAATAAGCACATGTATGCATTATTGTTGTTAATGTTATGCTTTAGTTTTGAACTTCAGACTGCGGACTCCCTCTTTTTGAGGGCAGGGAGTCCGTTGGACTCCCTTGTTCAAAAGTTAATTTCTACCCCTGATAAGTATATAAATGTTTGTTTTATGTAGATTACATTAGCATTTGTAGAAGACCTGATATAAGAATCACCATAAAACCAACCAACACGAGACTTAGAGAGTGGCTATTGTCTCTCAATACATGTAATCTAGGGCTTCATCAGGCATAATGAACATGTCACTAGGTCTTGTGCAATTTGGCAGCAATTTTACTGAACATGTGAATTTGATACTAATGCACTTAAGTCAATCTCCCATAAGTTACTAATAAAACAAGTTAATTCTAATAAATTATTTGTTAGAGGTGTAACGATACACTGACTAGGGTCACGATACAATACGTATCTCGCTAAGCAGGCCATGATATGATACATTGTCAATTGTGTGATCCAGAACTGAAAAGAAGCAACAGAATGTTCACCAAAACCTACCCTGTCCACTACCAGTTTGTCTTTATCAATAAAGATGTAGTCCAAGGTTTCAGAAAACCCACCAACATGATTTGTGTATTCCGGAAACCCACACGCACTGGCTAGCTTAAACGGTTGCTTAAAATCAATTCCATCCACTCTTTGTTCATTTTCACCTGTAAGAAGGACAATTATGTAGATATTATTCTTTTTGTGTGAATATTGAATCTCAGAGACCAAATGAGTGCATAGTATAACTTTTTTCCATAATGCCCTGCTGACCTGTCTGTACTAGGAAAATGTAGCTAGGTACTCCCACAAGAATTTTCTTTACAGTGAGTGAAATTTGTAGAAATAACTCATTCATATTATCGGAGTATATCAGATGTTATCCCAATTTTATCACACTTATATAATTTAATACATCCTGTGCACGATGCCACATACTTGGTGAATGCTCTTGATAATCCGGGGGTATGCTGCCATTCAAAATAAGGTTACAGACAGCAGAACTTGGATTGCTGTTGAAATCACCACATAACAACAGCGCAACCTCATTGCACTAGAGTGAACACACAAACACAAGATGCACGAGTTAAGGAGGCACAGATATGTCATTTTGCAAATAGGTTACAATAATGCAATATATTTTAAAGGGCTTGTTCTTTGGCACTCGGTAATTAACACAAGTGAGCTGCCCTTCACCCATAATCCTCTACTAACACCTCTGCTTCCAGGTCTGTGTTAATTACCTAGGAATAACCCTGACACTAAATTATAACCTGACTGAATACATAATAATACAGGATTTCACATTGTCAATGCAATTAAATTAAATTTTATAAAGAGTATTGCCTTCTTTAAAAGATACCACAACCATTAAACGGCACTGCGTAATCTTTTAGAGTCATTAATTAGCAAGCAAAGCCTAAGAACCAAACATTTCCTAAAACGGTTAGACATACAAGAATAGGTGGTGATACATATTTCTACCTGTGCTTCTTGCAATTTCACCACACTCTCTAGATGATGCAATGCCACCAGCATTTGGATTTGACGAATAAGTCCGGCATTTGGATGGAAGTAAAGATGTGTGTTACCAACCACTACTCCGAGGCCTTCAGTCTCTCTAGACTCTAGCACAACATACTGAAATATTATAAAAATAATTATAAATATTGAGCAACATAAATAAAGTTGTAATTTTAATGAGTAAATGCCATGGTTTCCACATCACACAATGGTCGTGTGAATCAAAGATGTGGGAGTCAAATACCTTAATGTAAATAGTGGAGATAAGTGGGGTTAGATTAGGTTATTAATACCATAGTAACAAATAGTATCCTAGGGAAAATTCCAGTATTCACACATGCTAGCCTTAGGAGAGTTTCCCATACATGTAATCTTCTTATACGGCACTGGCAATGTGATACCAATTCACTGTCAACCCACTGAATGGTGTACATCAGTGGTTGCATTACTCCCAAAATAAACATGTAAATTACAGAAATCAATTGTCACGTGGATTTTTTAATAAACCATAGTTAGCTGTAAAAATATATATATTATAGATCTTTCAATACCTGCAAAACTGTTGGTAATTGACGAAATTTATCTCTTAGCTCTGTATTTAGGGACAATGCATCTAAAATGAGATGGTGCTGAGACTGAACAATTTGCTCTGACATCACAATACATCCTTGGTCAATCAGTCTGTAGAAAAATGTAGGTACATTACGTACATTCACAACTTTGAAACAGCCATGCCCTGTTCAAGAGCAAGGGCAACTTTGTACGTTTTTTACATACACGCTATCATTTTTCCAGGGCGTCAAATGACAAGTGACGCTCAAAAAATAGGAAAATAGGAATTTTAGATGTGAAAAAATAGGAGGAAAATAGGAATTTTTGGTGAGAAAATATATGTTAAATAGGAACATTTGTTGCGTTAGATGGCCTTCCCAACACCCCTACAGCAATCCCGATCCACCACAAATGGTTTTATTAAGGATACTCTCCACGTTGTGCATGAAATTTCATCGATTTTTCGTTTTCAACTTTATTCGATGGCTAACACTATGTGCCACCTGTGTACATGTTCATTTCTCCATATAACGGTACATGTGAACCGTCAGAGCGTTTTTGCTTGCCCGCGTACATGTGTAGTAAGCAGCGGCTACGTCATTAATGACTCAGACACATGATCAACCAGCATTCACCGATATTCAACGAAGCCAGTATCCATCCAACTCAGGAGTAGATAATAGGGAATCCGCCTATTACTACTCCTGATCAACTCACCAATGCTAAGCAGCTGTACTACTACCCTGATCCAATAAAGTATTCACCAAAGCCTAAAATAAAGTTCTCACACGCCGGGACAGAGCTCGCAACGCAACCTTAACATAAGGCGCGCTTTGTTAAAAAGGACGTCAGGGTCGCCGCCAATTTCATTGAATTTGCGTGGGTCACCTCATATATTCTCAGAATTCTCAAGGTGCATGGAACATTTTTTACCTAATCATTAGTGTGGTCAGTTAATCATTGGATATGTCGCAGAAGTACTAACAAAGATACTATCACATACGTCACCCAATTTTGGCCACAGGCGGCGTCACTCATTGTGAAAAAATAGAAAAACGGTCTTATTTCTCCGTTTCGATTCTCTGAACAATAGTAAGCCGATTGTATAAATGGTATTTCTCATGTGATTAACAACTCGGATAATTAAGTTAGCAGCTCGTCGAATTGGTAACATATGGGTACAAGAAGTGCGTCAGGGATTGTTATTAAGATGCCGTACTTTATTAGTTATGCCTCTTATTAATTCGCATAAAAATTTCTATTTAACACACAACTTAATTTAGCAGTTTTTTCAAGTTTTCATGCGGGTCAAAATATCGAAATTAAAGAAAAAATCCTAACGGCAACATTCTTGGTCGATATTGTGCTTAACATGTGGCAAAAATTTGTATTCTCACTCTTTCTGGTAGTTAAAAATATCCAAAATACCATTTTTACCATAAAAATTCAAAATTGTGCGTGTAACATAATTAGGTTGCTTTTTTGAAATTCATAAAATTTTGGCTTGAGCATAGAGATATATCTCCTCAATAAATAAAACAAAGATGATTGATTCGAGATTCATTCGCAGCAATAAACGTAATCGTTCACTAAGAGGAATACCGCGTGCAGCAACGGAGAGTATCCTTAATATACATATTTGGAGTACACACATCTGAACAATATTTGAAGGTTTAATAAATCATGTTAAAATTGATAACAAGTTTATACATGGCATAAGCACCCATACATGTAGAACTACTGCCAAAATATAATGACGATACATGTATACCATGGCGGATCCGGACTTTTTGAAAAAGGCGGGGGTGCAGTAAAAATAAAGGGCACTTTAATAAAAAGATCGCAAAGCATGCTATGTCGCCGATGTTCTAGGCACGTTCCACTTGGGGGGGGGGATTAGGGGTACCTCCGCCACAGAAAAATTTTTAAAATTGTGCCATTCTGCAGAGCATCTGAGGCAGTAATTTTGATGTCTAAATGCAAGATGAATTCCAAATTTAAATCAAGAAAATTATCTATTTGTGTTTTCCCCTTTTTGGGTAAAAATATAAAAGGGGGGTCCTGGACCGCCCTGGACCCCGCCCCCTCCCTCTGGAATACAAATAAATCACCAACCAACTGAGAAACAACTTAAGCTGAAATACAATCGTGCTAGTAAAGAGTATATTACATGTATTACGTTAATTTAAAGTAAAGGGTGGGGGTCTGGGGGTCCTCCCCCAGGAAATTTTTGAAAATTGGGTCACCTGAAATGTAAATTCCTGCATTCTGAGAAGGATACATACAAGTCTGGATTCAGAAAAATGAAAAGCCCTCAAAAATAGGGAAAAATAGGAATTTGTCCAGAAAATAGGAGAAAATAGGAATTGTCCAGAAAATAGGAAAAAATAGGAACTTGACGCCCTGTTTTTCTAGAGTATTTTCTTCTGTATTTCTCAAATCAAATGTTTGCACCTCAGTTAAACCGTAGAAACTGATTCAACTAGAAAGACGAATTGTATCACAAGTAGACAGAAGTACATATATATTACTTGAACTTTGACTGCCTGAAGAAAGTAGCTTCGCCTTCCATGCCATCTGCTCCCTTCTTGCAGTAGATGCTATCTAGATGCATGAGTCCAAGCAGAGGTGAAAGATCATGCTCATATATCTTCTTATCAACTTCCTGTAGACATATGATATCAGCATTGTACCCTGAAATACATAATAATTAACCTCACTAGAAAAGGTTTAGGGATAGCTACTGTGAGCATGAGCATTTTAAAACTAGAAAGGGCAGTTGTCGCCAACTACATGTATCCCCCGTGTTCTCCCCAAGATGTGTAAGTATACGAAGTTTGGTCGCGCTAGGTCAATTTACAATTAGGGGCCGAGTTATAGAGCGGAAGGGAAATATGATGAAGGTAAAGGTCAAATGAAGGTCGCAGTGACCTGGTTTTGGTACGCTGCTCACCTTCGCCCCAAGATGTGTACGTATACCAAGTTTGGTAGCGCTAGGTCAATTAGGGGCCGAGTTAGAGAGCGGAAGGGAAATATGATCAAGGTCAAGGTAAAAGTAAAATAAAGGTCGTGGTGACCTGGTTTTGGTACTCTGCACACCTTCTCCCCAAGATGTGTAAGTATACCAAGTTTGGTTACGCTAGGTCAATTAGGGGTCGAGTTATAGAGCGGAAGGGAAATTCTCTGCAGTGGACCGAGCGGCGGCGGCGGCGGCTGGGGAGACATGAAACCATAGTATCCCCGCCGACTTCGTTGGGGGGGGGGATACAATTAATGCACTTAAACAATTCAATTTAAAACTATTAAAACATTTATAACATGGAATCATAATTATGATCAATAAAAGGAACTTGCAAGAAAAATATTTTAAAACAATATACACTATTGGCATAAAAACCTGTATAAGCTTATGTTCTTATAGGCTTATCCAAGCTCTCATACGTATATTAATGATATTAGCAATACCATGGCAATCAAATTATCTGATAACTGGCTTCTGATAAAAAATAGGGAGTACATGGGCTTTAAACTTACCAACAATTTCTCTCACAAACAGTTGCTTTCTATAGTCAATATGCAAAGCAGATGCAGGGCAGTGAGGAAAGAGATGTTCTCTTGAAAAATCAGAATCGGCATAAAGATCTGCGAGAATATTGTAGGAGGCCACTCTGAAACTGGAATGAAAATCTTAGCATAACCATGACCTTTGATAGTGAGGCTGAAACCAGTGCTGTAGCCTGTGGGTGGAGGCAAGGGGGGGCAGCTGCCCCACCCCTTAGATTTTGGAGCAAAATTAAAAAATATGTTTAGCTAATAATTGTAAATAACCCAAACATTTTTTTTTTTTCACTTATCTGTGAAAGCGTTGTCTCAGACCCACCCCTACCACACTATGGACGTCGATCAAGAGCTGCGCCTGTCGCTCAATCATTACACAGTTGAGTCATGAAATTTTGCCCCCCCCTAGGAATTTGCTCAATCTACGGCCCTGGAAACTAATATAAAGATATAGAATATATGTAATATATTGTACCATGTGCAATTATAGCTGCTTAGTGTTGTGAACTTACCAACCATGACTCGAGATATCCTTAGTATGAAGATGGCGAAGCTCAAATGGGCAAGGTCCAGGTCCTTCAGTGATTTTTCCAGCTTTTGCCTACCGAACAATGCCATATCACGTACATGTTGTCAAGTAGTTTTTAAGCAAGGGTTATTAATACATTTGTGTTGCCTTTCCTCTACAGCAGTATTACAGTTAAAATTAAAACAACTTGCTCATTTTCCAATATTAAAATTTAGGGTATCTTTTTAAAACGAATGGTCTATGATTTAGCAAATTTTTATTTTTATATTCCCTAATGAAATGCAACATAAACTACTCGTGATTTTACTCGTCACACATAGTACTGGACCGTTTGGGAACCACTGGTTTAGGAGAACTCAGAGTAACCACTCTTGCAATGCATGTTTGTATTGTGAGATCTCTCCTAAAAAGAACTGCCAAATGTTGGCATGTGGGATGGTTCTGTAGAAGGTAGATGCATAGCTACTTTCTACAGTAGTGAAACCATTTTGCTTAACATAATTACACAGACAAAGTAATCATCACACTATCATCTTGGATGCATATAATTCAGGATTTCTTCTGAGGGAAAATTAGACGATGGCGGTAATGGCCAGTTTGGGGAAAAAACGTGCATGATGGATTCAAAGGTGTGCAGTAGGCACGAATGTTGATTCTGCAGGCAGACGTGGGGGGAGAGGTAGAGGGGGGTCTGGGGGTTCCCCCTAGCAAAATTTTACAAATTTGAATGTCTTAGACTGCATTTTACGCACCCCGAAAATAAAATTTCACCTTTTAGTTTAAATCTTACTCTGTTAGTTGTAACTTTTTTCATACAAGTGAACAAACCCACCACCGTCTACATTCTGACGTTATATTTTCAAAGGTCGCCGAAAAAAAGCAGCCCGCGACACCCCTGTTACCCATATCTGTGGCTGTGCACATCGTGGCTGGGTACATGCTGGCTGGGGCGGCATTGATTGAAGTACGGGGGGGGGGGGCGCGTGGGCATGCTTATTGCTGTATATGTAGGGGTGGGCACCGCTGGTATGAGGGAGCGAAAGCAAAACTTTCCCGGAATCAAGGAAAAATCTGCAATCGGGAATGACACACGAGTGTGCCGGCATGCAAAAAAAACGTCGCTGTGAATTTCATTACGATTTTCCATGTATATAGTCAGAAGCACGTGGTGACCAATTTATTTTTGGATTGACACTATTTTGACAACGGCAGGCAAATACAGGAACATTTTCACAACGGCGTTGTTAAATTTGACAATGGCGGTGCGCCGCAGTGCCCCCTATGTAGGAGAAATCCTGTAATTTATGGAATGTGACAGCAAGTGATTTAATCAAGATTGCAACCCCCCCTGCCTTAATAGCATATAATCTTACCACAGCAGGCCTTCCTCTTTTTTCTCCGTTTCCAGGAATGCAAACAAGAGCTAGGGTGCAACTGACCAGGTCTACAGCAGATGTGATACACCACCCTTCTGCAACTAATTGCCATGTTACTCCTACTTCTAGTAACCCAAGACTTTGACAAAGGTCCACAACATTACTGGATCTTCCAGAAGGTGCACCACTAGTATGGGGAGATTGAATAAATTTTTCTGCCCCATCTCCACCATCTTGGGTAAACCAATACCACTCAGAATTTTCTTTATCTGAAAATTCCAGGTGAATGCGCGGATATAACAGAGATCCGGAAAATATTGTAGTTGGTAATTTTAAGCTTTTCACTTGAGGTGGATTGACCGATACAATGAACCTGGTGTCTTCAATCACAAGTAAATATTCATCTTGCCATGCCTCAACATTTAATGTAGTTTCATCGACTTCAGTCAAGTCGCTTTTCATTAGCTTCACTTTAACTTCAACAGGAGTACAGTCACTTTTCAGTTGATTATTTTCTTGTGATTTTCCAGCCGTCTTCTTTTTTTTCTTTTGCATTTTCTCAATTACTTTACCAATATTACTTGATATTCTGGTAAGTGTTAGATTCAGAGGTTCGGATTTCAGTCTTTGCAAATTAAACAAACGATGCATACGTGCATCAGAAGGTTTGTACATGAAACTCATCGTAAGATGTGGTTCTGTTGCACTATTTTTTACAATGAAATCGCTCATTTCATTGCTTGACGTCAAACGTCCGGTATTCATTACACGCTTTAGTGGCTGAAAATTAGCCAAGAATGTGGTGCGGAACAAATGTGTGGTAAACCGTAAGGAGCGAATCATGAACGTGTTTAAATTTCAGGCCAGCATAAGAAAGATTAACCCAATATATTTAAGCAAAGTAAGCACACAACAACTTTTGTGTACACTGTACAGCACTTGCACATGAAACTGTTTTGCACAGGGGAGACGGCTACTAGTACTAGTACTTTGCTCCCAGCTTCTGTGTTAGGTATTGGGAACTATGGGTAATTCGTTTTCTCCCGAGATGGTGACGTCATTATGCATCGAGTCGTCCGGTCCGAATCGCCCACAAACGCATTGAAACGGAAAGTGACTGTTGGTAAAGTAGGTTTGTTCACCATTTAAAAGGCAAATGTTCTGTATTCTGTTAGGCGACGTGTTAACAAACATAACCTTTTGATATAATTATGAAAATAGCAACTACTAATGACTGGAATCCTCATTCCAACCTTATTGTTTATTGCCGTATGGGCTGTAGTCAACAACTGACACTCTTCCGCCGCCAATCGCCGATCGGCTCCAAGTTCAAGTTGGTTCAAGTTCTAGTTCAACTTCAAGTAAAATTTATTTTCATCGGTATATAATGAACATTATTAACATAAGCTAAGAACTTTTGCACCGATATCAAACAAGAGTAAATAGATTGTGATTAAAACATGATAAAAACTGCGTAACTGCAGTGTTACTATCACATAATTGGCCGAATCTTCAACTACGCCATAAAGAGAAGGCAGTGGCTACGGGTACGCCAGCCGTATCTTAATGTCTCGAGGCTACGGGTACGCCAGTCCATTCGCTTTCATACTTAACGAGACAAAGATGGCGGCGGTCGCGCCAGATTTCGAAATAACGCCTTGGGAAATAAATTCACGATTTGAGAGTTTAGATGAGCAAGAACCCTAACCCTAACCCTAACCCTAAACCTAACCCTAACCATAACCCTAAACCTAACCCTAACCCTAATCCTAACCCTAACCCTAACCCTAACCCTAATCCTAACCCTAACCCTAACCCTAACGCAAAAAAGGGGCTTGAACGACCGACGGCTGGCGTACCTCCAGCCACTGCGTAAAGAGAACGGACTTGACCTTCTCTTGACACAAGATTTTTTCTGGAAGTGTCGCGATCCCCAAGTCAAGTACAACAGGATGGGTCCATCGCGCACACGCATCATGGACTGGAATGTCTGCACGCAGACCGTGATCGACACCATCAGTCTCGCAGTCGAGGCCGAGGGCGCTCCAATCACAGGCACATGCACTTGGACTTGGAGCGTTTCAATAAAATATAATGCTAAATAAATACGAAATCTATTTACTTCATGTTTCTCTACTCTCCTTCACCTATTGCCGACAAGCCGTGCACGTGTGTAAGTGTGCAGTAGCGTGCAGCAGCGTTATTTGCAGCACGGCTTGTCGGCAATAATAGGTGAAGGAGAGTAGAGAAACATGAAGTAATGAGATTTCGTATTTATTTAGCATTATATTTTATTGAAACGCTCCAAGTGCCTGTGCCTGTGGCTCCAACGCTTGTGTTTGTGTAGTGCAGGCGACGCTACTTTCCAGCCACTATCGGAATTGCGTATGGCTGCTACACAGCTACTAGTACTACAACTACTCAACTACACCCGCCATTTTTGACAATCAAATTGGCAAATTACACATTACATAATTCTCTCGATGCAACACAACCACTGGCACTGGCAGTTCCAACAAGTCAGTAAAAATAAAAATAATGTATAATAAATCTTATTGCACCACTAATAACTCTCCTATCTGCGGTAAACAACTCCTCACAGCAAAAGAAAAGCCTAACGTCAGCGCGAATGCTGACTCTCTGCACAACGCTGCGTACTCCCATACATAATTTATATATATGTATGAGGAGTACGCAGCATAGTGCAGAGAGTCAGCATTCGCTGAGCTGGAACCCGCGCTAAGCGCGGGCTTAGTGACTGTGATGCATGTGGTATCGACTGTTCAATACCCAGAGAGATAAGAGAAGAGATTGACCTTGACATTGACATTTAACTTCATTATTACATGCTTATTTCTACTTACATTATTGGGCTTACAAAAATGTCTGTGCATGTAGCACAACGTTGCCAGACGGCGAAATATTACAGCACAACGTTCACAGAGGGCGAAATATTAGCAAGGCAAAGATATAGCGCCCCCTATTTTCAGGCAAATCTTTACCATTTTTGTTGTCTTTTTTAAGCCCTTTTTACCGTTTTCAACCGAGTAAAGTTTAGAACCCGTCCCGTGTATTCATCGATCTCTTCTGTGAATTTGGCGCTATTTGGATCAAAACTGACAGAGCCTTTCATTAACATACATACATACAACATTCGCCAAATTATGCTTATAGTAAGATGTATGAGGAGTACGCAGCGTAGTGCAGAGAGTCGGCATTCGCGCCGACGTTAGGCTTTTCTTTAGTTGTATATAACTTGTTGGTTTTGCTCTGCATTTCATTAGAGCTAGATGAGGATCAACTTGAGCTAGGGTTGCTTTAGCCTGTCTGATCTCCCTCTTAGCAACTACTGTGAAAATTATGGTGACGTTGTGCGATGACAGAAGCCATACATTTTAATGCAAAACTACAGTACATATTTTAAGCCACAGACACTATCAATTTCTGGTGGACTAGTTCCAGCCATCACGAATAACTATCCACAACTACCTTGCAGTGCTCAATTTTAACAGTCGTTTTCTCTCGGGCAACTACAAATTGCTTCCATGGTTGTCCGGTGTCCAACCTCTAAATTAATTTTGAAATATTTTTTTTTTAATTTGTTAATTTTCAATTTTTACTCATCTGTGACTTGACACAGTGTTAATGTAAATGTTATGAAATAAATTTCATGCAACTTTTAATTACTATTATTATACGTCATTGATCCCTGCATCATTTACCACATTACCAATATTTTATTCTCTTCATATAATGAGTGAAACAATGCGAATGGCCATGTCTGCTGTCACTGCAATACGTACAAAATGTACATGATTAGGCCTTTTGCTTTACAGCACTGAGCATCACGTGAGCAGAGCGCATGCAGCACATGTTTAAATAATATCCGGACAACCAAAATTCTTGAGGGACAACCATATGCTACTCTCTTGGTTGTCCTCCGGACAACCCCAAAAACCTTAAAATTGAGCACTGCCTTGTAAATATGTCCCTTGTATTCAAGTTTATCTGAACTGACTCATAGGCACAGTTTGTCTGGCAACACACATTGTCTCATTACCTTGGCCTGTTAATTCAGTTGTGCAGTCTGGCAATGACTGCATGCTTTCAATGTCACAAGTATTGACATTCCTGACCCCAGGCCACCAGACTGCAGATCGTGCATGCTCACCACACTTGGCGATTCCCATATGGCCATAATGGCCTTGAATCATCATTAAGTGTGTCCTGGCGCATTGCACATGGCACAACAATACATATATATATCATCAAGAGCTCATAATAGAGAAGAGTATGACACCGTTTTAACAGCGTTTTGCATAGTTTTCAACTTGTAAATATTCTATCAATATGTGAATAAATATATTCAAAATTTACCTTGTTTTCGTCTATGATTCTCCCGTAATCATATGACACCACCAATTTACCCGAAAATCGTATGTGTTCTTCAAAAAAGTTCTTTGAATACGACACGGTTTCACACAGTTTTTCCAAATTATCGCATGTATTCGGCGCAAGTTTATTATCGGATTAGTGTTTTATTGTCTATGACGGAACGCTGGGGGCTATTGGGCAGTGTTTGCCAATGAGCAGAAAAAAGCTGTAGGTCTGCAGGGCCTATAGCTCCTAAACACTGCAGGCCCTCCAATTTTGGAGAAAATTACAGTAATAAAACAGCATATCATGTTCTTCCTTGTGTTTATTAGTCATTATCAATGTCCATTTCAAAATCGTCTGTAGAGAGGTGTAAAGGAAGGGGGAACATTCACTCCTTAACTTAAGGTATAGGGAGGAAATGCAGAATTGTGGCACAAATCTAAACGGCTCGACCTAGGCTCGTGATAGTCGGTGTATAGCATCATGGTAGGAAAAGCCATCACTGTGCCGAAATTGGAGGTCACAGGTCAAAGGTCAATGGGCACAGGGCAGATTTTAGACATTTTCTGAGGACATGGTCTGACGGAGCGATTGAAAAACTTTTTTGTTTCAGCGGTGACCTAGCATTTTTATGGCTTTATTGAAAGGACCATGAAATGTCTCTTCTGCTGACATGCGAAGAGTAAGTGTCGGATAACCTTTTGACCCTCAAGAGGAGGGTTAAACATGGATTTGTTGACTGTTAACAAAGGAGTGAACTGCTTTTGCTATTAGAGCCCCCTCCCCCCACCCTCCATCTGCGATAGTGGGCATGTCCTAACAATGATGTGTACGCAACTGCGTGTCTGCATATCTGCGCCTAACAAATGTGGTACTACGCACGACTGAAATTTTACGTTTATAACCGTAGCAACAGACCTCAGATGAGCCCAGACGCTCTGCGGCTCTTGTTCCTTCCTCTCGTCGGATGACTGTTTATGCTTCTTTGCCGGGTGCTCACAATTAAGGAAACGCCACATTGTTGTTATATATGTAGCTCCTTGGTAACTACGACTCTCCACTTTGACAGCAGAGAGACAGACTGGTAGTCTGGTACACATCGGTAGCAACGTAGTAGCGTCTCATAACATTGCGAGTGGAGCCGTCATACGTACACCAGTCTAACCATGTGTCGATCATACAGTCATGTCGATTGGTCGAAATCTGAGACACTTGCTCAGACCAGACCCACGGTCACCCACCAATGAAGAACGATTTCATGTTACTCGCAGCTAATTCTGCACTCGACTGGCAACTTGCCCTTTAGTTTACTACACTGTGGTGCGCAGCTTGGAACAGGGTTCCAGGCTATCGCTCTTTCATTTACACTCAGGCTGCGCGAATATGCAGTGGGCGAACGCATTGTTTACATGTGTGTCACAGTTTATCACGGATTAGTTTTCAAATAAATACCCCTGGAAGTTAATATGCAAGAAAAGATTTCTACAGGTAACAGTTTCTTAGTGTTTCGAATTTTCGGTGATCAAATAGCTGTAGGATCAGCGGGCCTGTTTTATCAAGAATCTGTAGGCCCGGCATCGAAAGTGTCGGCGGCGGGCCGACGGGCCGACGTGAAGCTGTGAATTTCGAACACTGCTGTTGGGGATATTAGGCATCGAATTGTATTTAGCGTGTAGCGTTATGCGTGTATGCTAGAAATAACTGTGTGCTCACGGCGAGCTAGCCGCTGATTTTAGCTGTGTTGCCATCGTGTTCCTGATGATAAGGAAGCGAAACAAGTGCTGTTTCTGTGCTTACCTAATATCCCCAACAGCCCCCAGCGTCCCGTAGTTCCAACCTGGTGCTGCCGCCGCATTATCAACATGCGCCGAATACATGCGATCATTCGGGAAAACTGTGTGAAACCGTGTCGTATTCAAATAACTTTTTTGAAGAACACATACGATTTTCAGGTAAATTGGTGGTGTCATATGATTAAGGGAGAATCATGTAGACGAAAACAAGGTAAAGTTTGAATATATTTATTCACATATTGATAGAATATTTACAAGTTGAAAACTATGCAAAACGCTGTTAAAACGGTGTCATACTCTTCTTTATTATGAGCTCTTGATACCATATAGCGGTAGGCCATTTTCCGCACTAGGTCCACCACGTGAATGATGCAGGTATCAAAGCTGCGGTGAAATATTTTTGATGTCTGGTCATCCATCAGGTGTCGACGGGGTGGCTCGAGTCATCACGCGTAGAGTTGTCATAATGCATCCAGAAATGATCTGCGAGAATCAAGTTGTCAATTCCAGTCAAATATCTGTGGCATTTTTATCTGTTTACTCTAAAAGAGATGAAAATATTTTTTTCTGTATTGTAGGTCGCCGTGTGAATTGCAACCAGCTCTTTTGACTGAGCTAGGCATCATGGCAGAGTTTGACAAAGGCATTGATACATACCCCAGTGCTGGTGGTGCAGCAACTACCGCACCAGCTGCCAGGCCTCGCTGGGATATTTCCTATATTCGAACTGTTCCTGGTTTACTAAAGATAGCACAAGTGGTAAGTTTGCACCTGTCTAGTGTACAAGTTATGTGCTGGTCAGACCCAGTGACACGGGGTGGGCTACACCTCCACTGTAATCATTTTACTGGCCATAATCACCAATTCCTTTTATTGTTAAAAGATGTGTGTCATCGCATAGTGTGCTTTAATATCAGGATTACATGAATGAGAGAGTCGCACTCATGATCTTCTGATAATGTATGGCTGCCTGTACATGTGCATGTGTAATGGTCAAAATTAACATGAGTTCTGAGCAAAATTATCAATTTTTTACTGTCGGACTTCCTGACTGAATTTAGTGGGGAGTGTTTGACTTCCTTCAAATACTGTTATAATTGACCAAAAATTCCACACAAAAAATATTAATGGGCTGCTTTCACTCTTTTAAAATAATATTCTGCAGTACTCTAGTCACTAACTTAATTGTATCCCCCGCGACGAAGTCGGCGGGAATACTATGGTTTCATGTCTCCCCAGCCGCCGCCACTCGGTCCGCCGCAGAGAATTTCTCTTACGCCTCTATAACTCGACCCCTAATTGACCTAGCGCTACCAAACTTGGTATACTTACACATCTTTGGGGAGAAGGTGAGCAGCGTACGCAAAACAGGTCACTGCGACCTTTATTTGACCTTTACATTGACCTTGATCATATTTCGCCTTTCGCTCTCTAACTCGGCTCCTAATTTGACCTAGCACTACCAAACTTGGGTATACTTACACATCTTGGGGAGAAGGTGAGCAGCGCTACCAAAACCAGCGTCACTGCACGACCTTTATTTGACCTTGACCTTGACCTTGACCTTAACCTTTATATTTTCCTTCTGCTCTATAACTCGGCCCCTAATTGACCTAGCGCTACCAAAACCAGGTCACTACAACCTTTATTTGACCTTTACCTTGACCTTGATCATATTTCCCTTCCGCTCTATAACTCGGCCCCTAATTGACCTAGCGCGACCAAACTTGGTATACTTGCACATCTTGGGGAGAAGGTGTGTCGCGTACCGAAACCAGGTCACTGCAACCTTTATTTGACATTGACCTTGACCTTGACCTTCATCATATTTCACTTCCGCTCTATAACTCCGCCCCTAATTGACCTAGCGCGACCAAACTTCGTATACTTACACATCTTGGGGAGAACACGGGGGATACATGTAGTTGGTGACAACTGCCCTTTCTAGTTATTTATGGCATTCTAGCTTCTGTATGTTTTAACATTTTTAACTTAGTTTGATTTGTAGGAACCATAAATTTTGTTAATATATGGAGCAATATAAATTTTACCTATGTGCATGTATAAGTGTGACTGTGAGTGTATGTGTGCATGTACAATCTAAATTACATCCAAATATTATCGAAATATCCAACATGCTAATTACACGCTAATGTAAATTTTATCGTAACATGTCTCATGGTACTTTTAATTTATCAGGCACAATTATTAATCTGTTTCATCTTCATTGCCAGGTAATCAGCCTAATTGGATTCATTTGCTGTATAGCAGCAGGATTCAACATCGCGGCCACAGGTTTCTTTGAGTTTGTTTCAATGACAGCATTCTGGGTTTCCCTCGTAATGCTGTTCCTCTATTTGTCGCACTTCATCAGTTTTGTACGTGCCATCCCCTGGCTCATGCTGGTAGGTACCACTTGTCTTTTCTAGTTCATTTGGTTGTATGCTGCTTTAGTACTACCACAATGATATAAATAATAAACTTGCCTATATAAAATATATAATAATTATATAAATATAAATACAAAAATTATATAAAATACTTATATATATCATTTCACTGTCTCCTTATTTTTTGCAGGAGTTTTTCTACTGTGCACTCTGGACGTTATTGTACTTAATCTCCTCAATAGTTCTTGCAAGTTCATCAAGTAACTGTGCAAACTGTGGAGGAATGAAAGCTGCTAGTGTAAGCAATCTCTCTCCTTATACTTGGTTATGACTTTTGCACCAATATGATGACATGCACCAATATGATTCTCAATAGACATTTATTGTTCGGAAATACATGAAGTTCGGTTTTTTGCCTCATACTAGATTAATTAATGAAATAACAGCAGCACTCTGCTATCTCATGTTTAGTAAATGTTGTTTTCTCGTACATGGTAATGAGTAGTGATGTCACGATCATCGATTATACTCGATCATCGGTTGAACAGTGGCTCAAACCAAGCGCTTAGTGATGTCACGATCATCGATTATACTCGATCATCGGTTGAACAGTGGCTCAAACCAAGCGCTTGGTTATCAAAATCCATAATCGGTTTCATCAAAAACGAAATAAATAAGTAAAACTTGAACAAGAAAACTTGGAAAAGTGATGAGCATCAGAGATATCATTGCTACTATACAAGTTATACTTTATTAACATACATGTATTATACACACAGTAGTAAACAGTGCAAAACAAACAGTAAACAGGGCTAAACAAGCACATACATGCACACACGTACATGCACACGGCGTTACATACATGCAGGCATTCAACACCCCGAGTAACCGATTGTAACCGATCATCGGTTACTTGGGTCCAACCGATGATCGATTACGAAATTACAACCGATTGATAACACTAGTAATGAGTCTAACTGTTTGCTTTCACAGTTCTTCGGCTTTGTGGCAACAGCTGCTTACGCTGTCGACGCATTCTTCAAATTCCGAGGATGGAGAGGTGGTGATACTGCCCAGGAGCCATAGACATTCTTCTTCTCTCTGAATGAATCTCTTAAAATGGAAACTTGCAATGACTTTGTAAGCACAATGCAAAGTTCACTATTCAATGAACAGACTGCATATTTGATTCATGACTCATTTTAATCATATTACAGTTTGTGAGCAATAGCATGATTATTTTTGAACAACGATTTAAAGAGAGTTTAACTCAGGCAGTATATTTTGTTGGACATGACCACATTTACGCAGGTAATTTGTTTTTGTTTTGTCTGTTAAAAGTAGTAAAATGTCTACACCTAATATTTATGGCCATAATTTGTTGTAATACTACAGGAAACATTTTTGTTCTCTGCAGTATTATATTTCATAGGTTTGTAGGTATTAATCCTTGAACTGTTGGTTCGCATCACTCATTGCATGTTTATAAAAATACTGTGCAGTAGAGTACAGTTTTTTTGCATTTAAGGTAAATGGTAGCCATAGCAAGCCATCCTTGGTGCGAAATTAGAATTCAAGGGTGAGAGGTTAGGGTGTGGAAAATTTCATTGCTGACTTTTGTATGACATGCTGTTGCATAATGAATGATGAACTTTTTTGTAGTTTTCATGGTTTCGCTAAAAGGATTAGGAAATGGACTTCCTACTGATGTGCGAAGAGTAGCTCTCATTTGTCTGTGCAGGTGTGCCTGTTCAGTGGTATTTTGATCCTTGCATGAAGGGGATATTATTTCTTGGCATTTGAAGAGATAGATCTGCATTTCATGTAAAAGCCTTTTCATTTGGGAGTTGGTTTCGCATGAAAAACCCAAGTTAGAAATGTTTCAACTTTCAAGTAAGATATATTCCATTTTTATGTTATTCACATGCTCTATAAAATGTCCATTCCAGTTAATTCTTACAAGGAAACATAGTTTTATGGCTGGGCAGCTCTCTGTAGAAAATGTGTTAAAATGTCATACATAGGCTATTGATACTCCTGCACGTACGCACGCACGCACATGCACATACAGCCACCACATACTTTCCAGAGCGTCGTGTGTGCTCAAATCGGTAGTTGACTTGCAAGAATCTGATTTTGATCACATATATCTACAGCATACTCAAGACAGTTTAAAGTTAATGCCATGTCAAACATCATGTCATGCGTCTAAAGACTTAGTGTGTTGAATTATGAGAAAGCAAGACAAAGGAGCATAGCACTGTACTAACAGTAGTAGTAGTCGTAGTAGTAGCAGCAGTACTAGTTGTAGTTGTAGTGGTGGTGGTGACGGTAGTGGCAATGATAGTAGTTGTCGTTAAATGAGTGGTGTTGTTTTCTAGCACTTGCTCGTGTGTACATGGAAGAAGATCAGATGTCACCACATATTTCTTCTTTTGTGGCATTGTCAGGTTTGTTGAATCGGTCAACTATCTTGTCGTGGTGCGTAGATAATGTTGAATGTGTAGGAAAAAACCTGTCGACTTCAACTGGAAAATTTCCCCCACAAAATGAAATTGCTGTATATCCATATAATATTTCCCGTTCTTTCACTTTGAAAGAACACGACCAGCGTTCTACTCATTATATGTAGCATTGTTAGTTAATACTGTTCTGTCCTGATAGGGGGTGCTAAATTTCCATTTTTACCCGTGGTAGGCCTAATGAGTGTATGCTGTTCCCAATGTTTATGTGTAAAGGGACAATTTGAAAATCAAAAGTTTTTAAAAGACACCTAATCATGATTTGGAAGTAATTTGATGTCATGTATGCATGTGTGTATTTTTTTACGATAGCTACTCAGGTGGGTGCTGTACGTACAAACATTATATATATGGTATGTTATTGTGGTTAGACCGTTACAACGACTAGAATAACAAGTGTAACGTTTAGAATGTTTTACTTTAGCCATCGAGTGTGTATTGAAGATTATCAGATAGAGAAGCTATGCGCGTCTATATATTTTTGATGTCTCTCTGTGGTTAAGTCTGGTTAAGTGTTGGCGACGTCTGGTGTGTCGTAGGTGTAAATCGCTGCTGCATGTCTTTCCTATAGAGTGCTAGTATGTGTATGTGCGTGGTATGTCGGTATCGGAAACGCTAAGGATTTACATCAGAAAGTTTCGCATGATAGCATCAGGGGTTAATAATGACAAATTTGTCAATATTAACCCTTGATAGCATAGGATGCTCCTGCCCTGCGTAGACACGTGTTCTGGCTTCAAACGCGGACGAGTCGCGCTGTCACGTTGGTGAGCAAAGGTTTGGTAGCCAGAGACTCAAAGCCGTTTGTCATCGTTATGTTGCCGTGTTTCTTGAATATGCAAAACTGACCGTCTTTTATGGTCGATCACTACCATAATATTCCCATATGATGCAGAGATGCCAACCACTACGATTTATCCGTATTTTATACGAATTTCTATTCCTTTTGCACCACTACGACCAGTTTGTATCAAACTACAAATTTCACTGTGATCGAAAAAAAATTTTTTTTGTCAATTTATTGTCATTATTGACACTCAGAATGCAAGAAATTGCATCTCAGAATCAAAAAAATTTCCGGGGGCATGCCGGACCCCCCTAGCAAACTCGGGTCACTACGTGACCCTCGAACTACTAATTTGATGGCCAGAAACTACAGATTGCTTCAAATATGTGTTGGCATCTCTGATTTGATGTCTCAGTAACACATCGTTGTGATAACAAGTATGGAGACGTGATCTTGAACACATTGGCAGTTGCAAATGTATTCTCAGTATGATTACCGGTGCGTTTTCGTATCTGGGCCTATATGTTTGCAACGTTTAAAAGATAATTAGCACGGGTAATTTTATGTACAGCTGTATAATTAACGATGTAGTTCACAAATTATCCTAGTAGGCTATAACGTAATCCTGGTTTCGATACAGTACCGTATAGACATCGACCTAGGCACAATAAATATTGCGGAGCGTCACCGGCACATATTTATGTAGTCCTGCATTGTAGGCGTAAATAATCACTGGTGGTAAATTCTTTATGGCCTGTAGCCGTGTGTACCAATGGTGTGTAGCTGTTCAATCTTCCACACGTGGAAGAAAATATCAAACACGTGTGATATTTTCCACACGACGCAGATCGAAGGATTTTGCATGCGCACACGCTGTGGAACTTGCTGCGCCATGAAGGGAACGGATACATTGTATTTTAGCTACAGAGTATACAGCGAATATAATACGATGTGACTTGTATCCATCACGTTGTTTTCCATTTGATTGTTGTTGCAGTTAAAATGCTATTAGTTATACGGGTCTCTCTCTCCTCTCTCTTTCCATCTCCCTCCCTAACTTCCTCTCTCTCTCTCTGTCCCTGTCCCTATCCCTCTCCATCATACCTCCTTTATGCGTGCGTGCGTGCGCATTTGTGTGAGTGGATCTTTCTCTCTCTCTCTCTCTCCTCTCTCTCTCTCTCTCTCTCTCCTCTCCTCTCTCCCTGCTCTCTATCCTCTCTTCTCTCTCTCTCTCGTCTCTCTCATTTCTCTCTCTCATCTCTCTCTCTCTCTCTCTCATCGTCTCTCATTCTCTCTCTCTCTCTCTCTCTCTCTCTCTCCGTGTGGTGTGTGTGTGTGTGTGTGTGTGTGTGTTGTGTGCGTGTGTGCGTGCGTGCGTGCGTGCGTGCGTGCGTGCGTGCGTGCGTGCGTGCGTGAGTGATGTGTGTGGCGTGGGTGCGTGCGTGGTCACTGTGTGTGTGCGCGTGTCTCGCTCGCTCTCTGTGTCTGTGCTGTCTGTATGTGTCTATTTGTCTGTCTGTCTCGCACCTGCCCTCGTTTTTCTGCCCCGTGTCAACACTCGCTTGCTCTGTCTTTCCTGTCTTTCCTCTCGTGATGAACGCAATGACCCATTTTGACGAAACCGGTTGAGTTTTTGTGCCCAGCTTGTGTGGTCGCTTGGCCGATCCTAAAACGGTATATATATAAGATAAGAGCCAAGCGGCCACCAGGAAGTACAGAATATACCTTAATAAGAAAGAAACCGTTCACGTTCACATAATAGCGCGAGTTTCGTAATTTGTGTCGATTTAACTGGTCTTTAAATTGGCTGAGAGAAATTTTTGGTCGATTCATTAGGCATTTAGTTCCATATAATCACCGTTTTATATATATAAATGAAAGCTGTTAGTGATGAACAACAGTCACTGTAGTTTATATTTACAGCTGTTTACAACTCTTTTCTTTGCTATTATGTAGGCAGCCATTTGCGTATATGATCATACAGGCAAAGAGAAGTATACGGGAATCGCATAGCTGATAAGTCTAGCTAAACTTTGGTGAAGGGGGCTAACACGGCACTGGTCACATTGTTAGAGTGATGAGGAAAAATTTTCCTGACCTCACATAAGGCGAAGAAATAGAATTTACGTATCACGAAAAGAAATTGCATGTAGAGTAAAAGTAGGTTGAAAGGATTTTTTTCGTTTATAACCTTATTTTTAGCTCATCTGACATAGTCAGATGCAGCTTGTAGAATTCGCATGACCGTCCGTCGTCCGTCCGAGCGTCCGTCCGTCCAACAGTTGGGCACAAATCTTACCGCTCGAACGTACGGTCACGATATTCGCGGACGTGGGGGGGTAATCCGAAAACGAGTTGGGATGTCGAAGCTGGGGTCAAAGGTCAAAGGTCAAGAGGTGTAAAAGAAGGGGGAACATTCACTCCTTAAACTTAAGGTATAGGGAGGAAATTCAGAATTGCGGCACCAAATACTAAACGGCTCGACCTAGGCTCGTGATAGTCGGTGTATAGCATCATGGTAGGAAAAAGCCCATCGCTATGCCGAAATTGGAGTCAGGTCAAAGGTCAATGGGCACAGGGCAGATTTTAGCATTTTCTGAGGACATGGTCTGAACGGAGCGATTGAAAAACTTTTTTGTTCAGCGGTGACCTAGCATTTTTATGGCATTATTGAAAAGGACCATGAATCTACTTTCTGCTGACATGCGAAGTAAGTGTCAGATAACCTTTTGACCCTCAAGAGGAGGGTTAAACATGGATTTGTTGACTGTCTGTTAGAAAGAATTTGACTGCCGGTTTGCTAGTAGAATCTTACATGCCTGGATGTATGAGGCTACAATGTCAGCAGTGAAATTTCAAAAAGCTAAATTTGGTTAAAGAAAGTTTATGCTGCTTCAATCGTTATAATTTCTATGGCATTCTGTACTGTCAGTATGTTAACATGTAAGCGTATGGCACTAGCCAGTGGCTACTGCCAGTGCATGTGTTATTGTACTGTGTAGTTTTTGCCTGCGTTAAGTTGGTTACAGGTGGCAGCTGTCTATTGCAGCCTGTAGGCTTGCGTAGGTAATGGATGAGTGCTTACCTATTCTGTCTGCAAATAGTTGTTGTGCACTACGTTTGATGGAGCTTCCATCTTTAATCTGAAGACACTTAAACGTACGCGCCATCTTCGTGCAACTTCAATAACGATCCCCAACGAACATTCCTTTGAGAAGGTTCCTGATACCATCCCTGTGCATTCCACTGTGTGGCGTGTATGTGAACACATTTGGGACTAACAAGGGTTACTAGAATCCCACCACTCCACCACAGAGTCACCGCAGTAGACGTTAGATGACGCTGTCGCTCCGCGGCAACTTGTTGTTATTTACATT